AGCAAACGTGGTATTTTTATCCAGTTAGTCACTCACTCAACAAGATGAATTTAATTACAGAATGTTGTAGGACAAAAGCCTAGACCACTTTATTTTGCTAAAAAGACATATGACAATATTCTTTTTAGGTCTGTGTGCAAAATTTACTTGAAATAATTTGTGAATAGAAAAATCCTGTAGGCAGCTGTTTATAAAGAGAAAGTGGATGATACAGAAAAGACAGTACTAACTGAAGATTTTAAACTGCGTCTTTTTTGTACAAAAGAGAGGAATTTCTAGATCTTTTTGCACTATTTTTGTCATGTAGGTTTAAAATTTAAAGTGTGGTTTTGAGAAGATGAATGTCTGTGGGTAGCTTCCTTTGCATATACGCACAGTAATATCTTCTGTGACCTTTCATCACAAATGTCAATTGGACTGGATTAAGAAATGCTTAGCAGATCAGAAAACATACTTCTGGCTGTGTCTTTGGGGGGATATTTTCGGAGATGATAGGCATGCAGGCCAGCACTCTGAGGAGGGAAGACCCACCCTGATGGTGGGTGGTACAGTCCAATGGGCTCGCAGCCCAGCTGGAACGACCCGAGAAGGAGGAGAGAGTGGGCTTGCACCAGCAAAGCTCCATTCTGTTCACATGAGCATGCTTTTGCTGCTGCTGCTGCCTGTGGACATCAGACTGCATCTTTTGTAGCATTTCAATGTGGGTTCCCACTAGTGATTTTCCAGGGAGCTTCTAGGTCTTACGTTTTAGGCTGGCACTGCATCCTTGCTCGCTGTTATTCTGTGACTGCCAGCTTATTGCACTAAGCAGCTACCGAACTTCTGGCTCTCCAGTGCGCACACGGTCATTGTACACTATCCTGTCTCTGATCCTGAAAGCCTATCTAATAAGTTCTGTGCATAATTTTATATATATATATATATTTCCCCCTCTATTGTTTCTCTAGAGAATCCTATCTTAGCTAAATGGCAAGGTTGCAACACAGATCTAGAAAGAACTCAGTGTTCTTGATATCTGTTATGGCTTGTGTCTAGATGTCCCCGCAAAGCCTCCTGTGGTCATAGGTGGGGCTTTTCAGAGATTGCTGGATCTGGAGTGTGTGCTGCTGGGATCAAGGTTGTGTGATTCCTAAATCAGTCCACTGATTGACTTGGCATAGTTCTGGGAGTATAGTGGGAAGCCCCACGCTGGGTGTGAGTGCTACTCACCCCAAGGGTGGTGGCCTGGATAGAATGGAACAGAAAGAGGGCGGCTGCCTGCTGCTTGCTGCTTCACTGCTGGCTGGCTTCTGCCTGCCCTGCTTCGCCATGTGCTGTTTCTCCTCTGTGATGCCCCTCTGCCACGCCACACTGCCATTGCAGCCAGCTGATTATGGACTAAAACCTCTACAAACTGAGCTGAAGTAAACCTTTCCTCCTTTAGCTTTGAGTGTTGAATATTTTGTCTCAGCAACAAGAAAAGTAACTAAGAGAGTGTTCCAAGCTCCTTCTCTCAGTGGTATATTTGGCAAGAGTCTTGGACCTTAGACATTGCTGTTACAATGAGTGACTCAAACGTAAATCAAGGTATGTTTACACTGTAGAAGCTCTTTGCTCCAGAACCTCATTCAAGGTCTCCAACCTTCGCAAGACCGTCCTGCCCCTTAGGTCTCTAGTGGAGCCTCACTCTCTAAGTTCCCAAACACAGAACAGGCTTCACCCTTAAGTGTGGGTTTTGGGTATCTGCTCTCCATCTTAATTAGTTTGCAGACTCTCCGAGGGTAGGGTGTGGGTCCAAAGATCCCTCACAACAATGAACATTGTCCTAGGTCCTGAAAGAGATGCATTAAAGTGTTTGTTAAAATGAACAAAGGTACTACTTTGAATACAAGGCAAGGTAGGACTCAGGAGCACAGATATATTTATGAAACTGGTGTTCCTCACTCATACTAAATATCTGAGGTTCTACTGAAATATCTCCTTGCAAAAAGAAGTCCCATAGGACAAGGAATATGGCCCAAACTGAACAGGCCAGTTGCCAGGAGAGCTAGGTTTAGTTTTGAATGACAAACTGGCCTCCAAGGAAAGAAAGAGCTTGTCAATTTCACTTTTTTGCTTGGATCAGAAGACGGAGGCTGGCAGAGAGATGCTGTTTGGGACTAGAAGTTCTCTGGAATTTCTAACCTTCTCTGGGCTTGGGAGAGGCTGGGAGAAGGAAAGGCATGATCTGAACGCTGGCCAGGGTTACAACAGTGCCTGCATGCCAACCACAGGGAAAGAAAATACTTGCTGAGAAAAATGACTGGAAAGCAATTACTTACATTTTAGAGCAGTTGCTCATATTTTAAACTAAGCTATGGTTGAAATCCAGAATAATGTTGACTTTTGGACCAGTGACCACTTGGAAATAAGTTTTCTGGCTGGCAAGCAGCATTCGGTGTTAAGGATGGAAAGACTATTGCAATACGTTTTCCCTCGGTGATTTTTACTGCCAGATACGACGGGGCGGGGGGCATCTCAAGCATATTAACTTAGGCCAATAGATTTTTCAACAGAACAGAAAGAAGTTAACCGGTTTGATGGATACACGTGGCCAGGTGGTAGAGTGTGGAGAAAGCTGTTGAGCCTGATGGCGACGTTTCTATGCGGTGAGGGTCCTGCTAGGTGAACTCTTAGGGCTCGTGGCACCTGCTGTAAGCGCTGCGTAAGGCGCAGCCCTGAAACGGAACCGCAAATCCCCCGGATGCTGGATCACAAGCGCCGTTTCCGGGAAGGCCTGATCCTTCCTGGAAAGGGCCTCTTCCTTGAAGCTCAGTAAAGCCCACAAGTCTCAGTTACCTTGCAGGCTACTAAGGAAATCCCAGATGAGCCCACGGGCAACATCTAACCCAACGGCATGTGAGACCACAGTCCTCACATGGTAGAGGGAGAGTTAGACTTCACAAGTCTGGCCTGGAAACTCAGCGCTGTCGCTTGCCTGCCGTATGAGGCCAGAGAGACTAGTCTCATGGAATGCCCATTTACCTACTCGAAGTAGGAACGTCTGCTTTACTTCCCAAGACCATTCTGAGGAGACATGAGAGAAGACACTGGTGCGAATGCCAGAGGGCAGTATTTGCAATTCGATCATTCTAAAGGTTTCACACTCTCCATCCCCTTTAAACCTGTCCACAATTCAGGCAGGGATACAAACTTTTATCCCCATTTTACAGAAGGGAAATCCGGACCTCAGCACCAAGTACTTTCTTGTTCAAGGTTAGACCGCTAGGTGGCAGACCCAGGATTTAACTCCAGCTGCGGAGCCGCAGCGTCTGTCGGACCACCGGACTCATTTCCAGTAGGGGAAGACGACAGTTCTTTTGGAGATGTTCTAAAGGCTTGTTGGGAGAACCGCATACACGCTGTTCTCGTTCCAGCGCCCAGTCTGAGCTTTTCTGTTCGAGGACAGTGCGGCGGGGCAAAGCCTGTACGCAGCGGGCAGTGCGTTCAACCAGGCTTGCTATTTATTTATTTTATTTTTGGGGGGACCGGGAATCGAACTCACGACGTCAGGCTTGCCAGGAAAGCACTCATGCTGCTGAACTATATCCCGGACCCCTCAGGCTTGCTATTTAAAAGGGCAACTGGTTGCACCGTAGAGGCTCACTGGGCCAGCATGTGGGTGAGCAAAGCTGGAGTCGGTGGGAAGCTCGCGCTTGTAATCCAGCGCAGAAGCCCCGGGGAGCAGAGCTAATCTTTGTCAGGACCTCTCAGGCCAGATAGGGAGGAGAGGACAAGGGGCACTGGGCTTACAGTCCCGCTGGAGGAAAGAACCCCTCCCCCTGGGCAAGCGGCTCGTACCGGCGGAAGCAGAGCACTGCGGGCTGAGCTCCGCGTAAGATCACCATGGCTCACCCAGGAGAGACCTGCCCCTGCTCCCAGCCATCGCTGGGGTCTCTGCACCCACGACGACCGCCCGCCCCATCAGTGCCTCTTCCTCCTCCGCGCGGGGGCCCAGGGCCCCTCCGATTCCCTCGCCCAGGGCTGAGGCCTCAGGGAGGCTGTCTCCGGGCACCTGGGAGTGGGAAGCCAGCATTCCTGGGTTCCCGCGGGGTGATTCTTCCCCCTTCCCCCTCGAGACTTCTGGGGCAGCTGCTGTGGAACTCCGCACCCAGCGAGCTTCTTGGGCCGCAGCGATTGCTCCCAGCCCCCACTGTCACCGCGGTCAGCGCGCACCCCGCGCGGGTCACGGCGGCTTCCCCGCTGCCCCTGGCGGTGCCGCAGCAGGGAAATAGGTTTCTCAGTGCCTCTGTGCCCTCGCGTTGTCATCGGGAAAAGTGCAGCCAGAAGTGCTTTTCCTGCTGTCCTGACAACCCGCGCTTGAGAGAGGAGGCTACCGGCGCGAGGCTGCCTGGCCAGCCAGGTGAACGCTGGGTGGGGTTAGGGCTGCTGGAACTCGTTTCGGCGCCCGCGCGCAGACGAGTCGGGAGAAAGTTACTCTTTACCCCAGGCTCGCCGGGAGCCCCCGCGGGCAGAGCGAACCAGCGCGGCTCCCGGGTGGGGGCGGACGACCAGCCGCCCCTCGTGCCCCTCTCCCATTGGCTTTCACCTGCCAGCGCGTGGGCCGCTACAGGCCGCCGGGCCCGTCCATCAGGCGCGCCGGGCCCGCCCCGCCCCTCGCGGGGTTTATAACGGGAATTCCCATGGCCCGGACTCCGGCGTCCAACCTGCTGCCCCGCGGCCCGGCCGAGCGCAGCGCACGCCGCGCGCAGAGC